ATAAGGGAATAGCATAGCTTACCTTCTTAATACTCGCAGGTAGAGTTGCGGTGAAGCTCTAGCGAGTCCCAGATCTTCCGTACCTACGTAAAACTAAACACCCCACCTTGCGAATCAACCTTGCGTGTTCTGCAATTTGGATCGCGCAGTTTTGTCCTGTGCAACACACGGGACTTCGTCAGATTTCCGGTGAAGAATAGCTTCAACGCGTTGATGAGCCTTCCGAGGGCTGAACAAATGAAAACCAGCTGGTCCCATACTCTTCATCTACCTTACTTCGATAGCCTTTACCATTCACTCACCTATCCTTAATGTTAAATAATTGTTTAATTATCTGAATCTTGAAACGCGTTGTTATTTTTCGATCTTCTGTTGCATTATTTACTCAGTAACTTCGACGAGATATATATGTAGCTGATTCTCTGTTCAGCCTTCTAGGCAAAAAACCGACCTCGAGGGTGAAACAAGGCAACCGGGCAGACGAGATATTTACCCTCTACCCAGCACAGTACTCAAGAGAGTCCATTGAGATGACTTACTACTATGGGTCCTTAGAACAAAGAGGATACAATAACCATCAATCCGTTCCGCGAAGACTCGTCGCGGGTCATACACCACAACAGGTGACTTATCCACCGTCCCAGAACGTATTCACCCAACCACTCTTCAACAACGAACACTTAATCGATAACTCTTTCGATTTCGAACTACCCGAGTACTTCGAAAATAATGATAGTGGAAATGATCAACTGCCCGAGTCACCCGACTCGACCTCTCTCTCCTATACACATGAGCCATCACAGGCGACCTATCATGACCCAAACTTAGCTATGTCTGTGTCCGAGGGATGGCTCAATCTCAGTCAAAATGGAAATGATATGCAAAGTAGCATCTTGAACAGTCGAATGGGTAGTATGATCAACGATGCCTCTGGCTTGCACGAGTCCGCTCAAGGTATGTCCCAGAAATTGTTGTGATGCCCCTAAATAACGATCACTAGGACTGTCAGTGAATTCGAATGCGACGCCTAGATCATCTTGGCAATTAGTACCGCATCAAGATCAAACTCATCAAATTGGTCGTATTCTCCATGTAACGCCTCCCCCTTATATTGACAGCTTTGCAACAGCATCACCGCGGCATGATCCCTGGACTTCCGTAGGACCACATCGTAGTCCAGAGGATCGACGACCAAGTGCTTTTGAATCCGTTGAAGCAACCTCGGATATCTCTGGAGCATCACCTCTCCCTATGCTTCCCGCTGTCGAAGTTTCTGGTTGTTTCACACCACAATCTTCACCGGGAGGATCTTCTATGGTCCGTCACTCATCGGTCGGTAGCCATCCTGAATCAAGTGGAAGAGCATTTTCTGGTTCAGCATCGCCTCGTGATCCACCATTCCTTGACAATATGGCCCATACATTTGCCGATTTCAACAACAACGAAGTAAATATTCCGATACATCATAATACGTCCTCACATTCAGCAACTATGCATAACGCTTTTTCTCCGGCCGCTTATGACAACTCTTCACAATCTTCCGGTTCTCCTACCCAGAGATATGTATTCGTAGAAAATGACAAACACCCGCAGCCGCAAGTACAAGCATCCCAGGTTCATGCTAACAAGAGGAAACATATGACGGACGATGATTCAGGAAAGTTCCTGACGTCGAGATATACGGTAATTGGCCAACAGTCTTCCGGACTTCAAACAACGTTGAATCTTCCACATGTAAGGGAAGAGGGAACATCAAAACCTGGTCCGGCCGGTGGACGACGTAAAGGCACCCATTTGTTGCCGGAAAAAGCAGAAAAGACAAAACTCATGCGTAAAGAAGGCTCTTGTTGGACTTGCTGCTTTCAAAGAGATGAAGTATGTTCTGTCTGGTTCCACCAATGCATCTTTTGGATTATTCTTTTTGGATCGAACTTGGTTTGACAAAATGTTAGTGTACTCCTGGCGATAAGTGCGATCGATGTTCAAAAAAGAATTATCGCGGTGTTCCAAGCGATCATCAATTTGGCTGTAACCGTACACGCTTGTTTGAATTGATCGAATACTTTATGCCTGGTCTGTTCTCCAATCCCAACTTGTTGCTACTATTGAGCTAAGCTTCAATTGCGATAGAATTGATGGTCGGTATCCATGACGAAAAGGTACTGAGGCAATTTGGAGACAAGCACATCAGGCGCTGGACCGGGAACCACGTTCAACTCGCCTTGGTACCTGGCCAAGGCTTACCGCCTCTCACATGCGAGACCTACGAGTTCCATCCCAGCACTGGGGAGTTACTTCGTCAATTTCAGTACAAAAACAATCCTGATACTGGAGAGTGTACCCGAGAGATAAAGAAGTCACCCCCTCTTGGGATGCAGCAACTCAACGCTCATAACCTAAGACAGTATGAGACGTATATTGACACTATCGCTGATAAGTATCCCGATCAGTTCATCGAACTTTTCTATGGCGAGGAAGATAATGATTTCTCTGAGCGTCTTCTAAAATTAATCAGTAACCTGAGATTTAAGCTCACCGAAGCTGACGACGTAAGTGTTCTCGTGCGAATTAATTACTTAGTACTGTAGCTAACGCATGTGCAGAAAAAGTTATTCCGCTCGATAATGCGTGTTATTGTCGTAACATATATTATGGGTCATACGCTCACAATTCCTGAAGACCAAAAAGAAGATGTGCTGAGTAGCTTGGATACTTATCAGCGAGGTTCATATGCCAAATTTTGCTCGCCACGTATGGCTAACCGTCAACTCAAATATCTGTTTTCACATCTGCATAAGAGAATGATGAATGATCTACTCAAGCAACTACAGCAGGTCTTGAAGAACAGCAGCACTCGACGCTGGACTTCAGCGTTCTGTGCGATTCTTGGTCTAGGTATGGCGCTCGAGGACTCGCAGAAGACGATCCACATCATTATGGACTCCAAAGCTGCGCAGGGCGAATTGCAGCAAAGAGAAGCAGATTATCTCGCCGAGGTTGCTAATGTGAGCATCGATGGGCAGTTTCATTTCATTACGGAGCTCTTCCGCTTGAAATATAAGGGTATCAATCCATTCCATACCGATGAGACGAAGAAGCTTGGTGCGAATGCGATGATGTTCCTGAAGGATGTGAAGGGGCTCTTTCACGAGAAAGGTAAACAAACCATTGAGTTGAGAAAGGTTTAGATACTGATGACCCGATAGAAAATTATCTATATAATCGCCAATATGTCCGCATTGAAACCGCCGTGCAGGGGAAGTATACGTCTCGATTGGTTGCGCGATTCATGTTTGGACAGGGTATTCCCGCCTCTGTCTACGGTGTCTCGTAATCTACTTGTCCATCTATAACGTCTTTATATTTCCTGCATGAGGCGGCGGAGTTTTGGTAGCGGTGTTGTTGGTACCGTACTGTACTGTACGAGATATCGGCGCTGTCAAGACTTGGGCGGTTAGCTATTGCATATCCCATGTCGGCGAAAACATACCCCTAGAACGATACGTTTGTACTGTAAGGTGTGGATTCACGAAGGATATGTCTATAATGACTCATGAGCCACGACGGCAAATTTTGTAGATGTATGAATCATATAACTTACAATTTGGAAAACCACTTCTTCAAATCTCTCGAATCGTGCCACTCTTATTATATCACACCCAAGTACGCATGACCGGTGAACTACGACCCCAGTCTAAAGCGTCGATACCCACCTCCCACCTCTCTTCGAGACGATGGATCCACCGTCCCGGGTGAAGTCCACGCCCCCGTCCTCGACTTTTCCCTCACATCGTCTCGTCGATAAACAAGCCTGACCGTAACTAATCCCTTAACCAAACCCCTTAACCCTAACCCCCATCACCCTTTCCCCTCCCCCTCCTCCTCCTCAACCCCAAACACAACCCTGACCCACAAACTACACCCTCCACACGAAACCAGCACCTCCCGTACGCCCTCGTCATCCGCCCTTTCCAGCTCCCTCTCTTGCACCACAAAACCTCGCTCTAATCCGCATCGGCAGGCGCGGTACCACACTCCTCCCCCCGGGTCGGCGGTGTGTGAAAGGTCGGAGAGGTCGAGGGTCTCGGTTGGGGTGGTGGAATTGGAAATGGAATTGGGGGTCGGGGATAAGGATGAGAGGGAGAGGAGGAGGGCTCGGTCGTATGAGGTCCGTAGGGAGGGCGTGGAAAGGGTTTTATAGGCGGTTTTGAGGGCGTCGATTGTGGGGCGTGCTGAGTGCGGACTGGTTATTTGTGAGGGGGAGGTTTTGTCTGGGTGGTGGGTTAGGAGGGCGAGATGGTAGGCGCGTTTTATTTCGGGGAGGGTTGGTGGGGAGGTGGTGTTGTGGGGGGTTGGGTGGGGGAGGGAGAGGAGGGTGTAGTGGTTTGGGAGGGTCATGGGTTTTTGGAGGAGGTGTGGTAGTTTGTCGAATTTATGATGTGGTTTAAAATGGGTTATGAGGATGGATTTTTTAGGGAGGTGTTTATGGCGCGGGGAATTTTGGTGGTGTGGCTAAGGTACCATGATGGCGTCTCGTCTCTTAATACATCAGATAGGAAGGTAAACATAAATATATCAAAATGTGAAGATAAAAATCAGCTAGTAGTTTGCAGTGTTTTTATAAAAGAACGTAAGGTATAGATGTACTGTAGATTTTTTTTATGATTATTTTCATGTTCATCTACGATAATCGTAAATCTGGAAGTTTCTATATCTCTCCTACCTGCTACTATATCATATTCAACCATGTTAATTTCAATATGAGAGCGAACCGTAGCTAATGTAATAAGCGTGGTATGTATATCTCCTCGCGTTTCATCTACTATGTAACGGAAAAGAGAAAATTCATGTTCCTGTTCTAAAGTCAGACGCCGCAAAAATCAGATGTTGCCCTGAGATTGCACAGAACTGCACAACAACGGGAGCAAAATAAACACTCCACCACAATTTCACCCTCTCACCATCATCTCATCCCAAATTACAGCGAAAAAACGCAAAAAGGGCTCAGCCGGGATTTGAACCCGGGGCCTGTCACAAATATAGATGCTGAGCATCCAGGCAAATGGAATAACCCGAAGCGACAATCATACCACTAGACCACTGAGCCAATCGAGGTTTAAATAAATCAATATCAATCATATTCCGCTTCTATTTTATCTTAGTTAGGATTGTATATGCGGACCAATCAAAATGATTCGAAACTTACCGCTTTGACCGTCAAATCGGCCGTGCTCGGCCGTCTGTCGCGACCACATGAGCATCAACGCCCGTTTTCTACGGCTCGAATAAGAAACTCCAAACACTCTTTTCTCTTTAATGCCTCAACACATCTTTCTCCAGATCTCTCATTGCGAATGTAGGAATTACCCGACACATTCTCTCCTACTCCCTTATTTGAAGGCCCTCGAACGAATACCTAACCTGTAAGTTAGTTATCTTCGGTTCCTTTACCCTAGAACGTCAGCCGAGACATCTCGACTCTAACTGTCTAACAACAACCTCAGCTCATAGGCAACCCTTGACCCTCCCTATAGCTTGTCTAGCTTGTCCATTGAACCGGTAGAGGTCTCTGATATCATCATGTCAAGTCATCGCCGTCAATCGTCGACCCACTCCACGAAACCTTTAAATGTACCGTCCAGGACCTCGATAGATAATGGTAGAGGACGTTCTTCCTTTCAAGAGTCGTGGTCTAGAGAAGTTTCCACTGCTAGATTAGCGTCTCCTGTACCATCAACGAGTCGCGGTTCTCCAGCTGTCCCACAAGTACCAACCCCACAACAAATCGGCATAGATAGCGATTCTGCTAGCCATACACCCCTACCTGGCACGGATGGCTCCAGATCATCTCTTCCAGCCGTTGGAGAGTCCGCTTTAGCAAATGCTCTGAAAGGTTCTTTTAGGGGAAGCCCTCCACGGTTTGACACACCTCCTCTACGTCAGCTATCACCGGTTCCATCAGCTAGAGGATCGGCAAGAGGACGCCGTGATAGTAGAACTAACTATGGTTCTTTTGACCATCGCTCACCAGGCCCTGGAAGTCCTTATGAAGACCCAGAAATTATCCGTAGACATCTTCGCCCCGCTCACGCATCATCAAGTAATCTACCTGGCCAAGCAGATAGCAACAACTCGATCAAGGGAGCCAAGAACGAGAAAAAACCAAAATCACCTTCACCTCCTAGACCAGGTGTTGACGACGAACACTTTTCGAGCTTACAAGTAGAAGGGGGAGATATTACAAGGGGCATATATCGATGGACTGAGGAACAAGAAGCGGCTCAGAGCCAGCGCTACCGCAGAAGCCAGAGTTTTCATGGCTCAAGACAACCCCCAGAGGACATAGAGACAATGAAAAGGCCAGGTGGATTCCGGCGATACTTTATAAAAAAGACCGTTCCAAGCTCATCCCCTAGACCTTCCAACACTTTTAACGGGGAATATGACGAACAGGCTCCTCCTCAACGCGCAATCACTAGTAGCTTCTTAGAATTTCTAAGTTTGTATGGGCACTTTGCCGGTGAAGATCTTGAAGATGAAGATGCAACTCCTGGTGTAGATGATTATTTCTCCTCGGATGCTTATGATGAAGGAGACCTAACCGCTGGTGACGAAACCGGAGATGAAGATCGAGAGCCTGGTGAGGACAGCGCGTTACTCACTCCAGCAAGAAAGAGATACAGGAAGAAAACAAAAGCAAGGACAGCTACTGCACTGGATGCAACTCTTATGCTTCTCAAGTCTTTCGTGGGTACTGGAGTTCTCTTCCTTCCTCGTGCCTTCCTAAACGGTGGTATGCTATTCAGCGTGCTTGTTCTCCTCTTCGTATCGTTATTAAGTTACTACTGCTTCATACTCTTGGTTTCGACTCGTCTAAAACATGAGCGTTCGTTTGGTGATTTAGGTCAGCTTCTATACGGAAATTGGATGCGCCATTTGATCAATTTCTCCTTAGTGATCAGTCAAATGGGTTTCACATCTGCATACATCGTATTCGTTTCAGAAAATCTCCAAGCTTTCATTCTGGCTGTAACAGATTGTCGTACGCTCATTGAGATCAAATATTTGATTCTTATGCAAATGGTCATTTTCCTTCCGGTCTCGTTGTTTAGAAATATCACACGCATTAAGACTATGGCTTTAGTCGCGGATGGATTCATCGTCCTTGGACTTCTTTATCTGTATTACTACGACATCTTTACCCTTTCCATTAACCACGGAATTGCGGATATCGCAGCATTTAATAGCCAGAGCTGGACTCTGTTCATCGGCACGGCAATTTTCACCTTCGAAGGTATCGGCCTCATCATTCCCATCCAGGAATCTATGAAAAACCCGAAGCAATTCCCTTCTGTGTTGGCGGGCGTCATGGTCGGTATTACCGTCATTTTCGTCAGCATGGGCGCTCTATCCTATGCCGCATTCGGCTCCAAAACTCAAACAGTCATCATCCTCAACATGCCACAAGACAGCAAATTCGTCAACGGCGTACAGTTCCTCTACTCCTTGGCAATATTACTCTCTACCCCTCTACAGATCTTCCCGGCCATCGACATCACCTCACTCTACCTTTTCTCCCGCACCGGTAAGCGCGATCTCAAGGTCAAATGGATGAAGAACATTTTCCGCTTCTTCATGGTCATGGCTTGTGCCCTTATCGCATGGGTCGGAGCTGGCGATCTTGACAAATTCGTCGCGCTTGTCGGTAGTTTTGCGTGTATCCCGCTCGTCTATATCTACCCTGTGAGTTTCCCGTTCCATCTCATACAATTTCCTAGAAATACTCAACTGATTATGTGAACTTAGCCCCTCCTTCATCGTAAAGCAGTAGCAACATCTTTCAGGCAGGAAATGCTCGATATCCTACTCTGCATCTTCGGCTTCGGCGTCATGGTCTACACCACCCTCTTGACCATCTTGCGCTGGCTGGAATCCGAGAGCGGGAGTCCGGCGGCGGGGTATTGCGATATTTGATTTCAGCTCAAAAGAGCGAAGTAGATTTAGAAGTGGTTGTATCTGGTACTACGGGGAATTTATAATTTGTAGATATGTGGACGGGCCGTGTTCGATGAGTGGATATGTTTATTATGTACCTACCCCTATCTGACTACTTTAACGGAAAGACTGGTCTTAGACCTGAGCGTTTGATATGATGAAATAGGATGAAAAAACTTCGTATTAAAATTGTTACTAAGCATTTGACGGCTACGTATACTATCTATCTACATATGTCATTGTTAAGGAGTAGGAGTATTCCCGTTAGATATGATAATAAGAGTCCTTTATAACGGAGCATCAGACGATAATTTGAGCGACCTAGTGACTGCTAATCGCGCATCATACAAACTGGTACGTATCAGGTACACTCCCACAAATTGGCGAGCACAGAGTATAATCCGGTGGGTACAGTACCTGGTAAGTATCGAGTAAGTACGAGTTTCGGAGAGTACCCGGTACGCGCGTCCTGAGGAGTATCGGGTACACCTATTTAGTATAAAGGGCTGAGAGGATATAAGTTTTGGAGAGTACCCGATCCTGTACTGTACTGTGCTACCGTACCTGTCTACCAGTCTACTAGGGAGTATCGTATATCTAGCTGTACACACGAACCATAAACTGGACTATAAACAGCAAACCATAGATCTAGAGTACTAGTACCGCCTTATCTGCATCATCTCTCACGTACCGTCCCATCTTTCCCGTCCCATCTTTCCCGTCCCATCTTTCCCGTCCCATCTTTCCCGTCCCATCTTTCCCGTCCCATCTTTCCCGTCCCATCTTTCCCATCCCATCTTTTCCGTCCCATCTTTTCCGTCCCATCTTTCCCGTCCCGTCCTTCCTACACACAACCTTCCAATCTCCCCCCTTCATGGTCAGACTCCTCCGGTACGCTAGGTGTAAGAAGGATTAACCATATCCCATATGCCACACGCCCATGACCTTGATCGACAGTTGAGATCCGTAGACAAGTAGGTAAGTAGCTATATAGACCGAGCAGGTTCAGTCGGGGAGACGCGCCAGTGCAGAAATCGGAATCGGTAGATGATGATGATGCTGAGGGTGCGGATGGCATGAGTATGACCTACCGCACCTTGCTCAATTAGGGGCTGGTGATACTGTCGAAGCAGGTGGAATTAAACTCCTCATATTCCACATAATCAAAGCAAGAAAGCTACCTAGCTATCCTCGAAACATAACATAGCATAATAACTGCACCGACAAAACCAAGTCTTAGGGTGTTTCCACTAAGACCGATAAATATAAAGAGCCGTCCTGATTACCATGAAAGAAAATAGATCGCAAACACGTGGGACAAATGTCGCAGATGGGGGGATATCATAAGAGAAGCGCCAGAATATGAGAGATGGGGATGGGGAAAGGGGAGGGGGGACTGTACATGTTGTGTTGTGTTTGTGTTTTGTGTGCATAATGATGTTTGCTCCTTTCCACAGGTGCAGTTCCACGATGAGAAGGATATAAAAAGGATCCAACGGTAGTAATATGAGAAATCGAATTTCCAACACTTTCATCAGACATCCAACTCCCTATCCAGCCCAGAGCTCAGAAATTTACCCTATTATTCAAACGCACTCTCCTCCTGTACCATTCCCTGCTGATTGTCCCTCATCTTCTGCACCGAGCTCTTCCTCTGCCCCGCAAGTCCCATATTGACAAGTAACATTCCGCTCTCTCTTCTCCTCTGCTTCGCCGTCCTGTTATCCCCGCCACCTCCTCCAAGCGCGCCGTTCAAGCTGCTGAACCCGCCATCCATCATACCGCCCATTGGTTGCGGGGCCTGATACATGGGCTGCTCGTAACTTGGCTGCATCGGGATGAACCCTGCTTCGTGATGGGAGTGGCCTTGTTGCTGTTGGTAATGGTGAGGGTGGGATGATTGAAGTTGCTGTAGGATAGAGGGTGGGTTGAACGAGGTTTGGTTGTACGCTGGTGTAGGGAGGTCGGAGAACATTTGCCGTCTTGGGGAACGGATGGATTCAGGCGTCAATGGAGCGGTGACTGTAATTTCGCGGATGGGGGAGGAAGCTTCGTCGATTTCGGCACCGAAGATGGTGGAGTAGTCGGTTAAGAAGAAGGATATGAGCGGCG